CCCAACTGGAAAGCACCCAAATGACCATCACCAGTGGAATGGATAAGTAAATAGTCACACAGTGAAATACCACAGACCAAAGAGAATAAACATACAATATGGACTGATCTCAAAGCATGATGTTGATGGACATAATATAGTTCATACTGTAAAATTCCCTTTTCATAAAGTTCAAAAACAGACAAAATGGATGTATGACATTAGATGTCAGGATTACCCTGGGGAGAGGCTGTGACTTCTTTCACCAGGTCTGAGTGATTGTGCAGCATGTTCACTTTGTAGTGCCATTAATCTGTACTTTACTTATGTTAAATATCAATAATTTTTTTTTCTTTTAAAGGTCCTGTCCTCATGGAGTTCACCTTGTAGGAGAGATGGTCAATAATAAAAATAAATAGGAAAAAAATTATAAAGGATTAGCCTGAGCTACGTGTTGCTGACAGTGATAAATCAGGAAAGAGACCAGTGAGGACTAGAAGAGGGATGTGATGATCCAGCAATCTCATTCTGGGATATTTATCCAAAAGTTTTCTAATCAGTATCTTGAAGATAGCTGCACTCTCATGTTCATTTCAGTGTTATTATTCATAATAGCCAAGATATGGAAACAATGCAAATACCCACTGACAAATGAATAAAGAAAATGTGGTATATACATACAAGATAATATTATTCAGACTTAAAAAAAGAAGGAAATCTTGCCCTTTGAGACAATGTGGATGAACATAGAGGACATTATGCTAAGTGAAATAAGTCAGTAACAGAAGGACAAATACTGCATGATTCCAATTATCTAGAAGTTAAAATAGTTAAACTCAGAATCAGAGAAGAGAATGGTGGTTTCTATGGGTTGGGAGGAGGGGAAGAGGGGAGGTGTTTTTCAATGGGTATAGTTATACAAAATGAATGCGTTCTAGAATGAATAAGTTCTCTGTTATACAACATAGGGCCTATAGTTAACAATACGATGTTGTGCACTTAAAAATTTGTTGAAAAGGTAGATCTCATGTTAAGTTTTCTTACCCCCACCTCCAAACAGCAAAGGGACACAAGAAATCTTTTGGAGGTGATAGATATGTTTATTGCCTTGATTGTGAGGACAGTATCACATGTGTATGTATATGTGCAAACTTAGCAAAATGTATACGTTAAATATGTGCATTATTTTGTATATTAAGTATAGCCTAATAAAGCTGAAAAAATAAAGTAGTGCAGTCAGAGAAAGGCAGTTGAAAAGCTGACAGTGGTTTGGTTCAATAAGTTTCATTTAATGTTCACAGCCAGCTTATGAGAGAGTGAGGGATTGCTACATATTAAAATATGTAGACGAATGTGGAGAAACGCACTAAATTAAAAAACCACAAATGGATAGGACAGTTAGCTGCTCAGGAAACACAATATTGTCCTATGAATCAGGGATGATGACATAGCTGGCCAGATACTTCGCAGAGACATACTACAGACAGACATACTACATGGATAAAAACAGAGATGGCTTCTGGGCTTCGTATAACCTTGCTAACCTTGGTCAGGGCTCAGAAGACAATGTGTTTGTTGCCATCAGGGCTTGAAGTGGGAGTCAAGTTATCTCTGGATTGTTTGTCTTGCTCAAAGTTTTAAAAATTGTGGAAGAAAAAGGCGATTTATGGGAAGACTAGGGAGTAACATATAATTGAAAGAATGTAACATTTATCACATTACATAATTATAGTGCAATATTATTGTCTATATTCATTATACTGTGCATTATCTCTCTATGGCTTATTTATTACTTGTTACAAGTTTGTACCCTTGAACACTATCACTATTATCCTCCCTTCCCCCTGGTAACCGCCATTTTATTCTCTGTTTTTTACAGGTTTAACTTTTTTGATTCCACATATAAGTGATACCATATAGTGTCTTTCCTTATCTGACTTACTTGCTTAGCATAATATCCTCAAGGTCCGTCCATGTTGGCACAAATGGAAAAATATCCTCCTTTTTCATAGCTGAAAAATATTCCATTGTGCCTGTGTACCACACCTTTTTTTTATCCATTCATTCACTGATGGGCATTTGGGTAGTTTCCATATCTAGGCTATTGTGATTAACGCTGCGATAAATATGGGAGTGCATATACTTTGTTGAAATTTTTTTTTAAATTTCTCTTGCATATATGACTATACCCAGAAGTGGGATTCCTAGATTGTATGGTAGATCTATTTTTAATTCTTTGAGGAAACTCCGTATTGGTTTTTGTTTGTTTGTTTGTTTTTTAAAGATTTTATTGGGGAATTGGGGGAGGGGAACAGACAAGTTGCTGTCCTTTTGTTCTTCAGTCTAGTTGTGGAGGACGTTGCTTCACTGGCCCAAGTTGGCACTATCATTGCACTCTTCCCGGGTGAGGCAGATAGGTCGCTGGCCACCAGACAGCCGCTCCCGGCGGCTCTTGGCAGCTCTAGTGGGCCGCCGGCCACTCACGGTAGCTTACGGCAGCCCACTGCAGTTCCACTGCAGCCTACGCCATCGCTGGTGACTCACAGCAGCCCAGCTCCAGGTTGAGCTGTTGTTCACCATCTTAGCTGTAGACGGCAGTGTCACTGGCCCTCATGTGGAATCTGAACCGTGGCCCTGCTGCTCAGAGCTGGCCTCCCAAGCCAACTCTGAACCAACACGCCACTCTGCCGGCCCTCCATATTGTTTTTTACCCTTTATTTTTGTTCACAGAAAAGAATATTAGCAGAAAAATAGATAATATAAAAGTTATTAAAATGAATTTGGGATTAGTTACAGTTGAGAAATCATTCCCATACTATATATATACATGTTACCGGCCAACTGAGTAGCCCCCCCCCACTACTGAGAAACTTTTAAGTTTTCTTTCCTCATAAGAATATTAAGTATAGAAATGTTAAATCTCCACCCCAGTTTCTTAGTTTCTTAGCTCTTGGTTTTGATTACTTTTCTAACCAGTTTGTGAATCCTAAAGATTGCTCCTAGCCTGAATCATAGAATTCTCCTATCCCCCTGCTTCTTGATTGCTTTGTAAACCAGTTTCTTAATCCTAAACAATAGAAGTCTCCTACCCCTCCTTCAGATAACTACTTTAAAGTCTGTGACTTCCTAATATCCCCCAGGCCAGTAAACTAAATGCCAAACCCATTCTGCGCCCAGACAATTGACACCGCCTGAGTGACAGGCTGAATGGCCACAGGCTTCCTGAGAGCTAACAGATTTATTAATTAAAATATATTTTTCCTCATTCGGGACCTTGGGGATACAGAGGATACCCCAACAATATTGCCAATCACAACCAAAGAAGCCAACACGGTCTTCCAGGCGGAGCTGAGACCCCTTCCTCTCATCTGAGATCAGCTAGGGTGAGAGTTCCATGAACCCCTAATAGGCAGGGACAGCTCGATGCTCTGCCCAGCAGGAAGCAGATACAGAAGAAGAGACCTCCTGTCCCTCAGCTTCCCATAGAGATTTAATGGGGATCACATCTCTCAAGGGGAAGAAAACAAGGCTGGCAGTTAGAGGCAGGCATTGGGTCTCTGCATTCCTGCACGTCCAATAGGATGTGACTACCTGGTGACCTAACCTCTCAACCCAAAACTTCTTTTCATTGTAACTATCTACCCCTGAAACAAATGGGTACAAAATACCCAACTAGATCAGACCAGTCACTCGCACCTGCTTAGTACCTCTTGTCAATTACGGGTGCCAATCAAGTGGTCCCATGCCCAGAGAGGAACAGCCCATTTTAGAGAAAGGGGGTAAAAACTCCAAGTCCTGGGAAGTCCGCCTATTTGGACGCCTTCCCCCTTTTTGACCGCTTCTTCCCTTGACCGGTCCTCCTTTTTTTGAGCCTTTTGAGCCTTGCCTTTGTGCGTGGCCCACTCCAAACTCTTTGAAATGTACTATCTCGTCGAAGAAACTACTTTTTCAGTACTTTACTCTGGCATCTTGTTCAATTCTTTGCTCGAGTTGCCAAGGATCTGGACTTTGCGCAGAGAAGGGCCCGCTTTCCGACAATATACATACATACATACATTATATATATATATATATATTTGTATGTATATAATCTAGGAATCCCGGAGTGGGAATCAGTTCCAGGGTCTCATTCCCATAGTAGCACAAAACTGCTTCTCTGAGTCTTTTACTTGATGGCTGGAGGCACACATTTTTGATTGCCCCTCTTACCCTTCCCATGGTACCTTTACAACTATGCTAAAGAGGAAGTTCCTCTAGTTTTGTGGTTCTCAAATATTAGGTGCCTTAGGTTGCTTAGAGGGCTTGTTAAAACATAATCTTGTGTACCAAAGTTTCTGATTTAGTAAGTCTGAGGTGAGGCCTAAAAATTTGAATTTCTAGTAAGAGCCCAGGTGGTGCTGAAGATGCTGGTCTGGGGACCGTACTTTGAGAACTGCTTTACTCCCTTCAATCTGCTTCTTAAGGTAGGTTTAAAGGTGGCTATATGTTAAAGATTCTTGTAATAGTTACAAGGAAATGTTAAAGGGATCACACAAGGTTATTGGGTCTTGGTGTTAGATGCTAGATGGTGAAAAAAGGTCACCACACTATCATCTCCCCAGGGCAAGGCAGGCCCCACCTCCCACATGCAATCCAGGGAGAACCCCAGTTTTCCTACTGTGTAAGATAAGATGCCTGCAAGGATTGAATACAATTAAGCTCTATGTGACCCCTCAATAAATGGTGGCTACTTTAATTCGTTTCCTGTCACATCGCTAGTCAGCCAACCTCTCGGATAGTCACATCATGCCAGCTTGCTAAGAGGCGGGGTGAGGAAAGATAGGCAATAGCGCCTGCGTCGCTGAGAACAAGCTCCAGGTGGAGTCTGTCAGGCACCTCCGCGGCCAGGTGAACTGCTCTAAAAGCAGAAGGTGGAGTCAGAGAGCTCGTGATAGTATGCTTCCGGCCACGTGGTTATGCTCATCACCAATGGGAAGGACGGGCGTCACGCCCGCTTCCTCACCCTGGCAACGGGCCGGTGACTACTTCCGGTGCTGTGAGGGCTCGGGGCTGACGCGGGTGAGTGTCCCTCTTTCTCACGCTGTCTGCGCTGCGGATCGGCTTCCTCTGTCCGTAGCCCGTGCGCTCGCTGGGACGTCCTCTCCGGGGCCGGGAGAGGGCGGTGTGCATGATGCCCCTTGCCTGGGGCGGTGCTGAAGGAGCGGACCCAGGACGTCCCTCGTCCCCTCGGTCGCGCGTGGGGCCCGCTCCGGCCCCCTTCCCAGCCTTGGCTCCAGCTTGGCGGCCTCATTTCTTGTCGGGGAAGGGACTGCGTGTGCGTGNAGGGGCTGCAGCCTACGCTGTTGCCGGCCACTCACGGCAGCCCGGCTCCAGGTCGAGCTGTTGGTCACCATCTTAGCTGTAGAAGGTAGTGTTACTTGCCCATGTGGGATCCTAACTGGCGGCCCTGCTGCTCAGAGCTTGCGCTCCCAAGCCAGTTCTTAACCAGTGAGCCACTCGGCCGGCCCCAGGGAAATCTTATGACAGTTCTTCCTATGTCTTCTTCACTACACTACCCTATGATTAACTTTTACCCTAGATAATAGATATATTGAGGTAGTGTTAAAGTCAGACAAAGTAATTACTTAAACTCTGCTTTGTAGTTTTAAAAATAATGCTGCTGAAAAAATTTGATCTCATTTTGACTATGGCCATCGTAGAGTATAGTTGCATAGTCTTAGAGCTAGTTTGCTTCTTAATACCATAAATGAGGAACCGTTAAACCAGAGAGATTGAGCTGCATGAGCTACATGGCTAGTCTGTGTTAGAGCCAAGTTGAGAAACCATTAAGTGGGCCCTTAAGTCCCAGTCTAGTGCTCTTGGCAATATACATCAGCCTGTAATCTCTACTTCAGAGGACCTCAAGGACAGATAATGTGAAGTTTAACCCCTGGGTCCCCCATCATTGAAGGGTCTTGGGTTTCAGAGCAGTGTACTTTTGCCCAGGTCTGCTCCACAGGCTTTTTTTTTTTCTTTAGTCATTTTTATTTGTCTGCATTCAGATTCTAAAGTTCATGACCTCCGTGAAGGAAGAAGGATGACTGGTTCTCCTTTTAACTTTCCTCAGTCAAGCAGGATGGGAGCAAGATTAGCTTTGATATGGGGTGAGGAGTGGAATTGTTTCTTCTTGTCAAATAGGTATCCTTCCTGGTCATTAACTTTTGGCTGTATTTAGACTGGACAACTTGGAAAGTCTTACAGAATCTGATCCAGAAGAATCTAAAAAAA